TTTTAAAAGCTAAGCTTAAATATTAATGCAACAATTAAATGCAGCGATCAGTTTTGTGTTGTTCTGTAGTTTATTGTTGCCTAGGGCATCTACTCCTCCAAGGCGCAATCAAGACACCTCCACGAGAGCTAGCTTAAATGCCAGCCGAAATGGTGGCTTTTAAGCTAGCCTGGAATAAAAAGAATTACAAGCATACACATGATTGTATTGGAAATGTCATGCACTGGGAATTGTGCAAATGGAAAAAATTAGACCTTTAAAAACAGTGACAGAAATTTAAACGGGTCACCCGATCCAGATCAAAATCTAGGAGAGTAGTTTTTTTTTTTTTTTTTTTAGCGTTTCACTCCAAGCAAGGTGGGAGTGCCACTAACAAGGACGCAAGGGGTTACAGAGAGTGAAGATAAGATTAAAGAGGGGTGTTTGAGAAAAGGATAAAGAAAAGGGCAGAGAACAGGATCAAGGCATCAGAAGATATCGATTGACATTACATTTAAATTTTTGAAGAGTATAGTTAAGAGGGAGCAAGTAAGAGGAAGGGAGTTCTACTGTCTGGAAGTGTTGACAAGGAAAATAAAAAAAAAACTGCCGAAAAGTGGGTTACTCTGTTATGGCCGACCACAGAGAAGATCTGAATGAAAAGGACCAACTAAATAATAAATGGATTTTTGACGAGACTTGCTGTCACTTATTCTCCAATATAAGCCACCAGTTTTAACTGGGGCAAATACGCAATGAAAATATAATAATAAAAATAAATAGCATTGCTTGGGAATACCGCATTTTCATGCTTACAGGACGCTGCGGCTTGGAAGACGCCCCTTAATATTAGAAAGAAAATTAAAAATTCATACAACACATTCATGTGCGTCCTTCACATACTGGCGCCATGTATTGTTTACATTAATCACTCATCCGATTTTGTTTGTATGACAATGACATACTAGTTGGTGGTTAGTAAATATGCTATACATCTTTCATTGTCCAAGGGTGGTTTTAAATCGTTTTGATAAACTCGACATGGGTAATAATTTCCAGATCATAAAAAGCTTGTGATACGTGTGAAAGCCTGGTGGTAACTGATGTTTTCACGACATAAGACCGTGAGCAAATCTACACGATCAAGATCAAGAACAAAAAGGCCCCCGCATCTGCTAGTAAACAGAGCTTGTGGCTCGGCTCCAGGAAGGTTTATAGTCTTGGAAATACTTGTAACAGCTAAGTACTGAGGTTACATCATATAAAAGGCTGAATTAGATAGATAGATAGATAGATAGATAGATAGATAGATAGATAGATAGATAGATAACATTATAGTGTAATGATTCAATATACAAATTCACGTACCAATCAGTCAAGCTAATTAGGTGACCGTCCAAGCTTACTTGAGCCTGGGTGTTGCTTCACATTCGTCGTGGAAGACGCACACATATTTTTCAGGGTATTTTTTAGGAAAGAAAAGTCCGTCTTGTATGCGGGAAAATACAGTATTTTATGGTCTTCCTCTTTTGCATTGTCACAATTCTTAATTTCCTTGTGATTTCCATGACAACAAAATACACTTTGAAATTCTATTGTTCTTTTTTTCATTATTTTAACGTAGCGACTTCAACAAAGTATAGTAAAAAAATGTTTTCATTATTTTATATTACGATCTTATTAGACATTATTTAATTTCCCATTAAAAGATTGTTTTCATTATTTTATTTCCCATTAAAAGATTGTTTTCATTATTTTATTTCCCATTAAAAAATTGTTTTCATTATTTTATTTCCCATTAAAAAATTGTTTTCATTATTTTATTTCCCATTAGACTTACGACCAGATCACGTCGAAACATCGGTTCCCCAAGTTAAGAAACGTCGAGCTTGGTTACAGATACTTCATTTAGTATTTACTCATCTCCCGCCCACGACCACGACGGTGACGGGATATAGCACAAGGCAGGTTTAAAGTGGGGAGTACAAGCGCCTGCACATGTTAAAAATTGCCCAGACTCAGCAACCAACGTCACGCAGGCGTCCTGTATTCCGTCCGCACCCCCTAGTGCAATGAAGGGGTGCTGACATGGGGTTGTAATCCCCGGGACAAAGCATCCCTTATTTATTTGTTGTGTTCTATTATTTACACAACCCACTCGGTGGAAGCTTGCGGCACAACGCCAGTTTAACGAAGAGGCCCGGGTGCACATACTCAGGCCAAGGTAAAAAAAAAAAAACTGCCCAGTCGCCGCTACGGTAGGTCGCACTGCCGATAGTATTACTACCGTGGCGGTTCGTACAGTCAAGGAAGTACTTTCGCGCGAAACTGCTTCCTCTCTTCCCGGGACCGACCATATCTCAGTTTGCATTGTTTTTTATTTACTTTCCATCCCACCCTCTAACTTGAGTGTGTCTTGTGCCTTGTACAGCAGGAAAATAGTAAAAAAAAAAAAACTTATTTAATTAAACAACTTCTGTTGTTCAAATCAGACTTTTTTTTTTTTTTTTTTACATAGCACAGTTTTTTCAGAAGTGTAATCAAAAATTATGTATATTATGCATATTAATTATGTATTTTGTATATGCATTATGTATTATGCATATTAATTATGCATTATGTATATGTATTATGCATTGAAATATTACGATCTTATTAGACATAATTCTTGAAATATTATGATCTTATTAAAAATAATTATTTACACGCATAAAGATTTATGGCTATATCACGTTCAAGTATCTGTTCCTTTGCGATCACCGAAGTTAAGCAACGTTGAACTTGGTCTGTAATTCAATAGGTGACCGCTTGGAAATATTACGTGCTGTAAACTTGAAAGTGCTGCTGGTGTAATAGATAATGACACGAAATTGTTAATCTAGGAGCCAAGTTCCAGTTGGGTCGTTATATTCACTTATGCGCAAATACCTTTAGGAAAGGTGTTGTGACCAAGTAAATGCTTAAAGAAATACCAAACAAGTGTGACAGATATATCATATATTAAACAGTAAGTACAAGTGAAAAGAATTACACGACTAGTGAGTGTGTGTCGGTTGACCCAGCGTTTAATCTATTGGACTGTTCCTCCAATACCTTCTCTCCTACTAATCTTATAGTAGGCGGAAAGTCCAACATAGACTCTTTAGAGGGAGGACACCACAACAGAGTTTTCCCCGCGTAAGTTTGAATCTCATCCTCGTCACCAAGATTTTGTGATCAAGTAAATAGTTAAAGAAATAACAAAACAAGTGTTACATATATATCATATATTAAACAGTAAGTACAAGAGAAGAGTATTACACGACTAGTGAGTGTGTGTCAGTTAACCCAGCGTTCAATCTATTCGACTGTTAATATTTAACAGCCCCCCACAAGGGTGAATGAGGCGCAAGGCCGATTTATTGTGGGTACCCCGACCTCGTAGACTCGGCCAAAAATATTCCCTTTGAACCCGCCTATAGACAGGGTTCAGGGCCTGTCTACCTCCCCGGACGAAACTTTGTCCCGCGGTAAAGCTTTGTCCGAGTTCCTCTCTGCCGAGGCAGAGAGTTCGACAGAAATCAACAATCTGGTCGACTGTTCCCCCAAGGCCTTCTCTCCTACTAATCGTATAGTAGGCGGAAGAGTCCAACATAGACTCTTTAGAGGGAGGACACCACAACAGGGGTTTCCCCGCATGAGTTTGAATCTCATCCTCGTCACCAAGATGTTGTAACCAAGTAAATAGTTAAAGAAATAACAAAACAAGATCATATATTAAACAGTAAGTACAACAAAACACGACTAGTGAGTGTGTGTCTGTTGACCAAGCGTTCAATGTATTCGACTGTTCCCTCAAGCGGAAGGGTCCAACATAGGCGGAAGAGTCCAAAATAGACTCTTTAGAGAGAGGACAAAACAACAAAAGGTATGAATCCACCTCTCCTTACCCCAGCTATGTGTTAATTAGTAAGATTTGTATCACTAAACCATTATTATCTAAAAAAGATTCTTACATTCTAAAACTTTCTCTGGCTTTAAATAATCTTCATAGGATTTATAAGCCACGGCAAACGAATCAATCAACCAATTGTTTTTAAATCCCCCTTTTAATCCAGTTTTCAATCAATAAGATCTATCATTAGCGAAGGAAAATTCTAAATTAAACTTGAATAATATTCAAGAAAACACATTAGATGCATAAAATTATAAAAGACAAAAAAGTATAAAAACAGTATAGTTCAACTCTGAACCGCCGGTTAAATTTTACGGGAAAGAACCCGAAGGAGGCTACGCCGAAGGGCGGAGTCTCCTTCGGGAGGTAAAACTGGCCCAGAACCCGTTTATACGTGTTCAAATGGGCTATTTTTGGCCGAGCCTAATTCGGAAATGCCCATTTGCCACATGACACCCTCGTGGGGGTGACTGAATATTGACAGTAAGAACATGATAGCATTATGGCTTCCTCTATCTTATTTTCTTTCTTAATTTCTTTGTTTCTTTCTTTCTTCCTTCCTTCCTTTCGTTCTTTCTGATTTCTTTTGCGAAAACTGTTAACTTCTCTGATATATCGCAATCAAAATGTGACGGTCCATTATTTATCTGAGGCAATGACATGTGCTAACTAACTTATACACTAGCGCAGAAATAAGCAGAATTATATGATGATGATTTTTCCTCTTTTCTGAATTTAAAAATATCTTTGTTTTCCAGAATTCGATTTATACTGAAAAAAAAAAAAAAAAAAAAAAAAAAGAACACAAAAGTCGGGCATCCAGCTGGATTGCGTGTCAAAAAATAATATTTTCCTCGCCTATCAACGATTATTTGTCGAGTCAACAAGATGAAAAGATAAACAAACATGATAATTAGTTCGAGCCAATGTTCCGGGGGTTTATTGTTGAAAGTTTGGTCAGGCAGAAAAAAAAAAAAGTTTCAGAATAACTCTTAATGTTATTTTGTGATTTTTTATTTCTTTTTTTTTTCTTTTTGTAGTTTTACGCCATCTTATTACCGTTGGTTTTATTCCAAAATTTTTGTCTTTAAAAAAAAATTAAAATCACGTAACTTTTACTTGGTGAAAAAAAAATCAAAGAAAAATCAAAGAGAAGAACGAGGAAGCAATAAAAGAGAAAGAGAGAAAAGGAGGAAGAAGCAATAAAGAAGAAGAAGAAAACAACAGCAACAACAACAAGGAGGAAGAGGAGGAGGAGCACAAAGGGAAGGACGCTGCAAAAGAGAAGTGCAAAAAAAGAAGAGGAGGAGGAGGAGAAGTAGGAGGAGCACAAAGGGAAGAGCGATGCAAAGAGGAGGCAACGAAGAAGAAGAGGGGCGGAAGGAGGAGAATGAGCACAAAGGAAAGAACGCTTCAAAGAAGGAGAGAAAACGAAGAAGATGAGGAGGAGAAGAAGGAGGGTGAGTACTAAGGGAAGAACGCTGCAAAGGAGAAGAAGTAAAGAAGAAGAAGAAGAGGGGGAGAAGGAGAAGAATAAGGACAAAGGAATGAACGCTGCAAAGAAGAGGAAACGAAGAAGAAGAAGAGGGGCAGCACAAAGGAAAGAACGCTTCAAAGAGAAGAAGAAGAAGAGCAGGAGGAGGAGGAGATTACAAAGGAAAGAAGGCTTCAAAGTGAAGAAGAGGGGGAGCACAAAGGAAAGAAGGCTTGAAAGTGAAGAAGAAGAAGACGAGGAGGAGGAGGAGATTACAAAGGAAAGAAGGCTTCAAAGTGAAGAAGAAGAGGGGGAGCACAAAGGAAAGAACGCTTCAAAGTGAAGAAGAAGAAGAAGAAGAAGAAGAAGAAGAAGAAGAAGAAGAAGAAGAAGAAGAAAGAAAGAAAGAAAGAAAGAAATAAGGCTATTAGGTTGATAGGAGTGGAAAAGGAAAAGAAGAAAGAGATTATTCAAGTAGAATGAAATAAAAGAAATTGTAGCGAAAAGAAAGAATGAAAACGAATTAAATGGAAAACAAAACCAAGAATAAGCCGTTAAAAAAATTAATGGATGATTGATAGACGGATTACAAAAAAAAAAAAAAAAAAGGTGAGAGACAGAAGAGCAATACGCAAGTTTTTGTTCACGTCTGCAAGAAGATCTGCAGGTTGTTTATATTCCTACCCCGATTATTTCGTCTATTTTAAAAGGAGATAAACAGATTTGAGTGACAGATGATTTTTTTTCTTGGTAATAGTGGGTCAGAGCTGGGAAAGTTTACTTGTCTTTTTGATTCTCCTCCTTTTTTGGTAGCAAATGGGTCAAGTCACCCGTTTTCCATTCAGCGAGAGGCTCAAACGAACACCCAGAAGCAGGTGATGTAGTGGGGGGGGTACGATATACAAGTCAAACACTGGTTTTGATTTACCAAGAGTTCTCTTAAAGAAGAAGTTTTAGTTTAATATCTTTTTACACGATTACGTTATTCTCGACATCTACCTTCCGCGCCCACACTACAAATAGATAGAGAGATAGATAGATAGATAGATAGATAGATAGAATAAAGAAAGAAAAAAAAAACAAACAGGCTATTTTTTATTCTCTTTCTTCTTTACAGTCTAAGTTCTCGTCCCTATTTTTCTTCTCAATCCTTTTTTTTATATCCACTTTTTTCCTTCTGTTTTTTTTTCTTTTTCTTTCTTATGCTCTCATCTTCTTTCATTTTTTTTTTCACAATTTATTCTTCCTCTCTTCTTTTTTTTCAGGCTTCTTTCTATATTTTCCTTCTCGTTTCTTATCATTTTTCATAATTCCCCTTTTCACTTTCTTCTTCTTCTTCTTCTATTACTACTACTACAACGACTACTTCCTCTTCCTATCCTCTTAAATAAGTTTTAGTTTAATATCTTTTTACACGATTACGTATTCTCGACATCTGCCTTCCGCGCCCACACTACACATAGATAGATAGATAGATAGATAGATAGATAGATAGATAGATAGATAGATAGAAAAAAGAAACAGGCTTTTTTTTTGTTTACAGTTAGTCTTACCTCTCCCCTCTATTTTTCTTCTCAATCCTTTTTTAATATCCACTTTTTTCCCTCGCCCTTTTTAACATATTTTCCTTCTTTTAATTCCGCTTATCCTTTTCTCGCCATCTTAATTTTTCTCCTTTTTGCGTTTTGAATGAAGAAATTCTGAATTAAATAACGCTGAAAAAAAAACTGACCAAACGAAATACAGTCAAGAATTTATAAGCAAACACGACCATCTTCCTCATCTTTATTGTCTTTTCCCAAAAACTTCTGACGTCTCTATTCACTGGAATCGGTCAAATGTTTGCCACATTCCCTAAGTGCCAAAAACTTTTAGCGCTTACACATTATATAATAACAAGAGCAATTAAAAAAAATCAGACATACGTACTCAAACAAAATAAACATGATATCCATTGGTGTCTTGTGTTCGCGCAAATCTCAGATGAAATTGATTGGTAAGATTTTCTGACGTCATAAGTAAGATAACAGATTAGTAACTCAATATCCGTTCCCTTATCATATTCTTCGAGTGTCTTTTAAGTAACACGAATTGATAAAAACTAATAGTAAATGTCAATAAAATATTTTAATCCAAAAGTTGGTAGGAGTTAACAGAAGGTTGAACTACAAGGTCTCAACCAACGTAGTACATCAGTGGGAAAACACCTTGTCACGTTTTCTACCAATGATGGCAGTTATTTGCCGAAATTTTGATCTGAACTTTTTCATTGTATAATGTTCGATCTACTTAAGTAATATTCACCATTAAATTAAGTGCGCTAACAAGAAAGTGGATTATGTTGCAAAAGAAATATTTATTGTGTAAAATAAGAATAAGTCCTTTTAATTATTTAAACTACGGGTTTTATGGTACCTCTCTCTCTCTCTCTCTCTCTCTCTCTCTCTCTCTCCATATATATATATATATATATATATATATATATATATATATATGCAGAAATGTAGTTTTAAAGTTTCCTATATTTATGGGATAAAGTGCTCAATTTCAGAGATAGAGCGTATGTAAATATAAATATTATAGTGAACAGTGAAGTCAACACACAGAGGCGACAGGCTTTTTCATGTTGGGAAGCAATCGTCAGGCGGCCTGACGATTGCGTCTAGCATGTAACAGCCTGTCGCTTCTGAGTTTTCTTTCAATGTTCACTATTATATATGTTATATATATATATATATATATATATATATATATATATATATATATATATATGTAATATAGAATTTTGTATTTAGGCAGCAAACTCTCTTTTAGGCATTTCTGATTAAATAAATTACAGATCATTGGCTTATTTTTAATAAAATCCGTTCATACTCACGGAAAACATATTGCAATTAAATGATGTGAGAAATGTGCTATAACTATGAAAGTCGTTTTATATTTTCCATTTCCAAGTACTTTCGATCTTCTTCCGATATCATCTTCAGGGCTGTATGTAGTAATACAAAATTTAGTGTTGCTCACGGGTGCTAGTAGTAATACGTAACTGTTTTTGATATCCATTACTTTAATTTTTCTTTTTGCATTCAAATGCAACGGTTGACAATCATGCTTAATGTTCATTATGGATTTTTGGTCATGCGTTCATGAAAGCGTGAAAAACTGTTATTTTTATAGACATTTCAGAACATTACTACAGTATTCGTAATTGATTCTATTAAGTGACTGCTTTAATTTTTCAATGTATATTGCTTCTAGGATCTGTAGTTTGAATTTGTTGTTCTCTTGTTGTGGATATTTGTGTTGTCGATTATATATCTATGAATTTAGCATATTTCCATTCAAACATGTTTAATTGAATAACATCGACATATTGTTTCTACTTATTTTTTAAAAATTGTGCCTACACATTTTGTAAAAAATTCAATACCTAAAGATTTAAATTTTAAAATAAATCTTGAGTGTGTTCGCGTATTTATTTAAAATCGCATTCACAACGGAATTTGTCTTCACAATTTATCCCTGAAGATAATTTTGGAAAACATCGAAAGTACTTGGGTGGCAAAAACTACGCGCCTTCCTTGATGAATTTTTTCTTAACACCAAAGAAAATGACTAAACAACTGGAAAGAATCGGTATAAAAATAAGTAGGCACAATATGTGTATATTATTCACTGAAACATTTTTGAAGATAGATAGATAGATAGATAGAAAGAAATAAAATAATAATGCTAGCTATTAATTTTAGCAATATATGTTAAATACGGAAAATGACATATGGCGTCCTGGGTAAGACGATAAACTACGTCCAACAAGCAAGGCCTCTGATCAGAAGGCTTTGAGGAGAGTGGAACCATCTCTTAATTGCTGGTATACCTAGGACCACCCTGACCCAGGGTGGTAGCACCTGTTAGGGTCACAACTATGGGCAAATAGTTAATCCCTAAACAAGGGTCAGAACAACCAAAAACAACGTTTCATAAGAGCAGATTCTTTCCACGAACAGATGTTTTGTGGAAACAGCTCCCAAGAGGATGCTTCCCCGATCGCTATTGTTCAAGTTTAGGGTTAACCGTTATCTTCCCTACATATCCACATAAACTGTTCCTCTTACTCTGTAACCATCTACCTTGAGGGACTCTTAGGCCTTGGAAAAACTCATTGAATAAGAATTGTACAAGGACCTTTTAATGAAGTGATAAGAAGAATAATGCTAGCCCGAAAAACAAAATCAGTAAAATTAAGGATATTAAGTTGGAATGGTCTTTTTTTTTAATATTTCTTATTAAAATAAGACAATATTAGTGTAATTTTAACATTGCAGTTATTGAGAAATAAATTTGTCATTATGTTCTGTGATGATTCACTATTTTCTGCTATCTGCCAACTTCGTAATTTCATCTGCCGTTTAAACCTACGGAACAAAATATAAGCTTTAGATAGTTTCTTTAGATATAATCTGCAGTCTTCTGTTGCGTTTCGTGACGATATTCAGTCACCCCCTCCACGAGGGTGTCATGTGGCACAAGGCCTTTTTAACGTGGGCATTCCGAGCCATTAGGCTCGGCCAAAAAATAGCCCATTGAACCCGTATAAACGGGTTCAGGGCCGGTTTTACCTCCCCGAAGGAGGCTCCGCCCTTCGGCGTAGCCTCCTTCGGGTTCTTCCCGCCCGTAGGAAGAGAGTTGAACCGAACAGTCGCTCAGAAAGTGTTGCGTTTCGTGACGTCCCCAGTGTCAATTCTTTAGATCCCACCTTGACGTTATAGACGGGATCAACCACGGACAATTTTCTTTTTCATCTCTTGCTTTATCTTACGAGGGACAAGAAACCGTAGGATCGTTTCTGGGAAGAAGCGAAAGTAAGGGATCCAGAGGACGTATGTCAACCGGTTGACCAAAATCTCATCGCCACGCGCTGTCTTGCCTCTTGGTACGGTAAGACATCTTGACCTAACCCCGCCTCTAATTCTTGCAGCCGTCTGAGTAGCTTGCCGGCTTTTCTGGTCTTATATCAAAACTTAAACAAAAGCATTCCATCATTGTCAGAATTCCTCGCCCACATTTGCCATCCAGGGTCAGCCTACACATTCTGTAACACTTCCGGAGAGTCAAAGCATGTGCATTAATAGAATTCCACACAAAACAAGAATAAAGGATTATCCGAATGCTCGAATGAGCGAATGCGCAGTATCTGTTGAATGCAGTCAAAAGGTAACAGTTTCTACTTGAAAAAAAGAAATGTGTGATACAACGCTGTCTTGGCGTAATGTTTCATCTTTTTACTCAACAAATTTTGACGAAATATATATCCGCGGTTACTCACTTTAGCTGTTCTAAATGAAAAGTACTAATTCAAGTCAATAATTTATTACACCTCAAGCGCTTCATTGTACAGGAATCCCAGTAGAATACTACACCCTTGTGCAAATTAATTGAAACAATCACTTTAGTTTCTTTTCTTTTCAACATACGGTCAGTTTTAGACCCACTGGAGTGACAGGGTTTAATCGATTTCTATTTTTCCTCAGATTTGATCATTTGCAGTGGTGTGCAGATATGAATCTATTTTCGGGGTGTAAGATAAAATTTGTTTGGCCTTGAAAAATAATGCGTCATCCGTGATTGCATCAGATTTTTGTCACGCCAAGACACTACTGTCTCGACTGATGATTAGTTGTCCTACGGCCATTGTCTGCGATGGACGTTACTCAAAGGAAGCGTACAAAAATTGTAAGGCTGCACGAACACACTAGCAAGCTTTGCCAGTGAGTGATTCAAAATACTATAGGCTGGCCCGGAAAAATCCCCTGATTTAAATCCAATCGAGAATCTGTGGTCAGTCTGCAAGGAACGACTTCGTGGAATGGACATCCGGTGTACTAACATCTGCACTAGGTTATGTTTCATTGGAAAAATACGAAAGAAAAGTAAATAATAACGGACTTATTCGTTTTGTTTCAATTAATTTGCACAAGGGTGGAGGTGATCCTGGCCCTTCACATCTTCCTGTATAATTAATTTGCACAAGGATGGAAATCAGAGGTTTCGAACGATTATATCCAGATATTAAATAATTATAGTTATATTAAATAACAAAGAAAATAAGAACGCTGGTCGAGTTGCTCCCTGTTTTACTTTGAATTTAAATCAGTTGAAATTTCTAGAAGACATAATGAAGAAAGGGAGTAAAAAACATTGATACTCACAAGAACATATTGACGGCAAGAAGGAGGCAGGAAATCAGCGCAAGGCCGGTGCATACTACCTCCGAACACCCTGACCGAAGAACAAGCCTGATTGAGGGGTCTCGAGCAGTGCTTTGTGACCCTGGCTGTCCAACATTAACTTTTTCCTACCCATATTTATATTCGTTAAAGATTAAACTAAGATCAATTGACTATTGAAGAATGGCAAAATTTCACGGATTTTGACCTCATCCTGGGGTCATTTTTTCCCAAATCCGTGAATTTGTTTTGTTCACGTTAATTTCTCGAAAGAAACACGATATAAAATTCAGAATATTTTATCCATAATGTTGAATGTAATAAAATGATCCAGTTTTTAAAAAGAAAAATTTTATGTTGATGTTAAAAATTACCGCAAAACATTGTTGATTTATTTAAGATGAAATAATTTATTTATGACATGTCCCTAATCTTTATTTAGATACATTGTATTTATTTTCAATTTTTCTACTTGAATCATTCACCTATATTACACATGATCCATTATTGTACATAATTAGGTTAGAACAAAAAATTTGTATTTTATATAAATAATACCTTATAAAAATCGAGATGTACTCGAGTGAGGGGGTCCTGTATTATAGATTCTGGGTGTGGGGGGCAGAAGACCTTTGCACTGGCACTGAGCTTTTGGAACTGATGCAAGTGAAATCTCAGACCTTAAGAAAGATGTTCTTGTGTTATACAGAATGAGTGATTCACCATGTTGATGTTAAATATTGCTGCGAAACATTGTTGACTTAAAATGGAATGATCTGTTTATGACATGTGTCTAATCTTTATTTAGATACATTGTATTTATTTTCAATTTTTCTAATTGAATTGTTCACATATATTGCATATGATTCATTACTGTACATAATTAGGTTAGAATAAAGTTTGTATTTTATATGAATAATACCTTATGAAAATTGAGATGTACTAGAGTGTCCCGATTCAGTGAGTACCATAGATTTGGGGAGGTGGGAGGGTACGAAACACTTGCAAAGGCCTTGCATAACATACCTAACGAATTTGTGTAAATGGTTGGCAAAACACGGTTATGGAAATATATTAAAAAAAACTAATTTACTACGAGCTACAATTAACAAGTAATTGTTGATAGCCAACATTGCCCACGCCCTGAAGGTACACCGAACATCGAAGAAGATAATATATATATATATATATATATATATATATATATATATATATGTGTGTGTGTGTGTGTGTGTGTGTGTGTGTGTGTGTGTGTGTGTGTGTGTGTGTGTGTTATGTTTATACGTTCTTTTTTATAGATACAAATATGATTTGGATACGCATTGAGCAGATATGAATGTATGAGAGAAAATCATAGAGAATTGTGTTTTAAAAACAGTAAAATCGACCTTGCTAACCGAACATACAGTCCGGTAAATGTTAATACCGTTTATTATAAACAGAGCATTTACATAAAAAGAACGTATAAACATAAAAAATGTCTTAAAAAATAAATGTCGGACTTTGTCCATTTCATAATGTGTGACGTAATTTGTTTACATTTGGATCCGCATTGAGCAGATATGAATGTGCGAGAGAAAATCATAGAGAATTGAGTTTAAAAACAGTAAAATCGACCTTGCTAACCCGAACACTCCTTTGTGGCCCAATCGGTTAAGGCACGTCAGGTTATATGACAGTTCCGTATAGGATACAGGTTCAGTTCCTATCGGAGGACGCATATTTTCTATGAAAATATCTCGGACATTCAGACCAGTAAATATTGTTAATACTGTTTATTATAAACAAAGCAGTTAATTAAATATTTGTATCTATAAAAAGAACGTATAAACATAAAAATGTCTTAAAATATATATACGTGTGTATTTACCAGCAATCCTCCATTTAGACATGTTTTATTAACGACGACAGACAAGATGTTGCGATTAAGCATTTTATTTAATTTTTCTTGTGTTCGAACAAGTCTTTTCTTTTTTGGACACAGAGTGTGTAGAAACTGTCCAAATGTCCTGTAATTCCGAGCGCTTTCGGCTATATTTGTAATCATTATCAAGGATGATTTTATTTTTGCCTTTTAATTTGGTATATAAGTTGTGTGTATGTTTCTAGAGTTATAGGGATGTTTTATTTTCCGAACACTATCAGCACATTGTGGCCGTCTTCGTAGTTTATATTACTGAATGTTGACTTTTTTCCTTTTTTATTATTAAGGCTTCCATTATTTTTAATCTTTTTTTTTTACATGTAGATGAGGTTATATTTATATTTTCTACTAGTATATTTCGGATGGAGTCTGATAAGTTTGTGTGTGTGTTAAAATGGATTTTAATAGATATATGGTCAGATATGTGTAATGTAAGACGTCTGGATAGGCATGTAGTAGTGTGGCCGATGTAATTATGAATTCGGTTTGATCCGAAACATATTTCCTTAAAGGGCATTTGAACTCATAAATAATGCAATTTTGATTTTGCTAGTGTGTTATTTTTTAGGATAAGGTCAGCTGTTT